ACTGCCGCTATCCTGCATTTTTATTCTTAGAAGTGAAATTGACGTAATGCACCATTTACGGTAATTCAAAACCGAATTGCAAAATTATATAATTATTGATTAAATAGCATCCATCGCGCATAATTGGGTATCACATGACCGATAAATTATATCCCTTTAATTTAATGAATGCCGGAATATTAATCCCGCAAGATTAATTTAAAATAGGAAAATAAAGTTGAATTTCATAAATGTTCGTTGAATTACGACGTCGAGTTGTAAATAAACGGCGCCTTTTTCAAATCCGTGTTATTCCGGGCAATATCCAGCTCGTACAATTATTGCAATTAATGTTTAATGAATTTGTGCAATATGTTGGGGACTAATAATGAAGGATTAACAGGTCAGGCTTCTTTTGATGAATATTCATTTATAACTATCATAGACGGGTAATTTATTTTGCCTATATGCCTATCATCAAACAAAACTTGATTGATATTGACACGATATTTAATTAATTTAATTGGAGCAATAAGTATACTACACTTTTTGGAAATTAAAAATGGTTATTTAGTTGCTTCTTTATTTATGGATAAAAAATAAAAAAAATACTGCCCTTTTCATCGAATGCCTATTTACATGCAGGAATTGTATATTTACATTAACAATTAATAATTAATTACATTGAACACAAAAAGCTATTAACATATAAATTACATTATACAATACCCATTAAAATAAACGAATTTGCACTAAACGCAAAATCGCCCACAACAAAATACCAAATTTATTCAAATGTGTAGTATGGCCATTGTACATTTAGTCTGGAAATGTGCAACATTTCTCCGACGTACTTGTTAACATTCATGAAGTGTTTGCGAAGCTATTAACACTTTCATGAGTACGTTTTTACAACACACAAGAATGGAGAACGTGACAAAACAGTTATATTATAAAATACGAAATTCGTCGTAAAAAATAAGAGTGAAATCTTTACCGCTAAACCGATGAATTTTTAAAACGAGAGAATGTTTGTTTGCTGTTTGCGTTGGTGTAAATATTGGTAAATATCTGAGTTTCTGTGATAACGGTAGAACGGAATTTGAATGAAAACACGAATATTCACACCAACATGAAAGTACATACATAACAACAAAATGCATCGTAAAGTAAGGTATAGGTAAATGTATTTTAATCAATGGGATCCATATCGTGTCACTATTTGAATCCCTTTGCTCTGATTATACATGTTCTAAGTATTTTTAAGGGCTATTTTACGTTAAAAATTATACAAAATTACAACTTTGGCATTCTGTGCAGGTATCTTTAAAAGAGCATTTTGTGTGCACTTTTACAAGAGATATTAGTCATTATAAAATAATAAAATTATCTCCTACAGTATATTAACATGTTATTAACATTTATTTTCGATTGAATTAAAATGCTTGTTTCAAGGATAAACTGTTGAGCTAAAACTCATTCCTTTGCAAAGTCAATTTGCTTCTGAATTTAATGATTAATAATGAATTATCTACATAATTACGGTTTTTAGTGTACCGAAAGTGTTCCATTCTGTCGTGCTACATTGAATATTCAGATTGTGCGGTTAATGCTGGCTTCAATGGAAAACTCGTTTATTTTCACCTGTAGTTAAAGATAATTATAGGGATTATAATGAACGCCCAATAGTAAATTACAAAGCTAAAAATACATAAGGTCGAAGCATAAAAATGGTGAGATTTATACGGCGACTTTCAAAATTGTCACGCTTTGCTCAAACAGGAAATGCTTGCATAGTTTTGTTTTAATTTGGTGTAATCTTAGGCTATAATTGAATGCCCAAAAAAGATCGAATGAAAAATGTGAGTCTTTGAAGAACCAATGACATTGTAATCCTGAATATTTTGAATGAACTATACGTAGGTGTATATGAAAATAATCTGAACATTTTCTAATGAAACGATTCATCTTTTGTTTGTGATTTTTTGCGTTATTTTAGAAGGTATTTTCTTGGTATAATTCAAACGTTTAAAACACAATTCAAAGTTAAACTGACAAACATCAAATAATTCATTGGTTAATTGTGTAAACCGATGCGTATCGCGGATCCAAGCACGCAGACATAGAGAACCGGGTAAATTGCAGTCAATATTTCATTGCTTCAAAGTAATAGCACCTGTTAAATAGCAGTTAACCCCGGGTATTGACATCACTTATCATTAAATATTAACCCGGTTTCCCCGGCCAATATGTGTTCGCTTCGATTAACTGCGGCTGTTTACTTTAATTGGAGCATATTTTAGTCGGTTAATTTGAACAGACAATTTGGATTTACTCTTTGCAGATACCAGCGCACACCGCCGGCTACTGTTAGTGTTAAATACAACGAATGGCACCATCAACGCATTTATATAAATTTTGTCGTGCTTATAGTGGATTTCCGATAAATGGATAATCATCACCACTCGTGCTATTCTCATTTAGCTATTTACTATGAAATATCTACATTACATATTTTTTGGACTGTTATACAAATAATAAATTGTAATTTGTATTGCAAAAATTATTTAAAAGATTGTTAACAATAAACAGAAGTGAATAATTGTAATGATAATAATTATGTAAAAGTAGGGTAGGGCGGGGCTAGTTGAGCAACTTTTCACTTTAGCGGATATAGCTCATCAATGATATGTGTGAATGACTTGTTATGTGGCTTGATGGATTAGTAATTTATCCCTTAACAAAAGTGTCCATAGTAACTTTTTTGTAACTAGTTGAATTTAAGAGCTACAGCTGTTTAAATGCAGAAAGTCAAGTATGCTCAATGTACCCCATAGGTGAGGTAAGTTGAGCAACGGTATGTTTACATATAGGATATGTTTATTTTTATAATCATCTCTTTATTTATTGTGATTTAGTGACAAAACAACAAAACTTAAAGTAATTTACGAGCTTTCTGTTTAAAATCAGAATTAAATTGCTTAAAAAAAATATTAATAATATATTAGCAAGTTTTGGTCGTTGTTACTGTTGCAATTAATACAAATGAAAGTAAGACCATAGCACCTGGAAGACATTTTATTTGTGCCCATTCCTTGCAAGCTTGGCAGTGAATCCAACTTTCTGCTGGTAAATTTCGCAGTAGTTGCTCAACTAACCCCAACCCGCAATTTTAAAATAAAAGTGAGGTCATAAAGAAATCGTAAGAATTATAACCAGAACATCTCTACATATCAAAAGTACAATAATTTTCTGGAATATTAACCCTTACCCCATTGAAAACGGATAATATTTGACTAATACAGACGAAAACTTGCGATAGACGACGTTTTTACTTTTTGGTCACAAAAAAAACAAAACGCACGGGGGCTTTACTCGCTTGTCGAGGCGCCACTTGCAATAGCTCTGTGATTAGGTCTCCCCCGACCCCTTCTTTCCGCCATAAGATGTTTATGCGTACGGTGAATAGTTTGCGAGATATTTCGATTGCACAACTTACCCGTATGCTCAACTAGCCCCGCCCTACCCTAATAAATGGGCGGAGTTCAACAATATACCGCCGCTATTGAACTGTATTGTTGTATACGATTATATATTTCTTTCTTTGGTGAGAGTTATATAAAAATAAAACAGACAATGGGGGGTAAATTTTTAATTAAGTATACGTGGTATATAATTTCTATTCGCTTAAAGACATAAGAGCAAAGGGCAAGAGTTACATACTCGGCATATGTGGCGTATTTTTTACATCAAGCTACATGTATAAAACTGATTAACATTTAAAGGCCATATATCGAGAGAAATGTCACAGTTAGCGATTAATCATTGTTCCGCAAACCTATTTTCAATTATGTCGTTTAATATTGATACAAACTTTGATTTACGATCGAAATTAGCATGAGGCAGAAACATATCCGACTTCATAGTTTATCTAATCGTAATACAGACAAAACATTCCCTGAATTAATGAGTATTGTTCTTTATCTTGTCGCTATATAGCGCGATATCTAAGATCTGAAGTTTTATTTATAAGTACCTGAATATGCCTACATAAATATATCTAAGTATCTACAAATGAAATATTGTGATTTATTGCAAATTATATATGTATATGTACTTTTAAAATTAAACTGTAATATTTCATATGATTGCACAAGTAGTACAGAAGCAGTTTATCGTTAAAATAATAATTACAAACAACACATACATAGTTACCTCCTCTACTTTTTGTATATAATTGCTATTGAATAAACGTGAACATTGTATTATTTTATCATAAAAAAGTATTTTTAAACAATGGGCTCATTCGACACTTTTTTTTTATTTGCTTTTTGGAAAGACCACACAATTTTAAGTCACTATGCAAAAAATCAGAATTAAATTCCATGTAGAAGTCACTTAAAAAGGCCTTAAAAACCGTCGCGCTGAGCGTTCGCTCGAATCGATTGTGACGTCACTGCATGCGTTGCGAGAACAGATTTGTAATATAGGCTTCGATTGAACGCGCTCTTAGGGTTTTAAATAGGCTTAGGGAGTTTTATATAATAACGGACAATAAATCAAAAAATAGTTATAAATATTGCATTGTTCCCAAATGTCGAAGCACTAGTTTTAAGACGCCTAATAAAATATTTATTAGTCTTCCGCGCGATTTAAAAAAAAACAAATTGTGGCAAAAATCAATGAAAAGAAGTATATGCTGGTTAGTACTAAGTCAACACATTTTGTCTGTGAAGATCATTTTAATATAAGTATTAATTATAATAATTAGTTTGCTTAGTAAAAATAATTAAATTTTTTAGTTTGAAAACGATATGGAAAATTACATGTATTTTAAAACAATGGCTAATTCCCAATGAAACAAGATGTTGTACCTAATATCTTCGACTGCCAAAAAGTTCAAAGCGTTAAAGACACTGTACAAGCAAGAACAATATTTTTAAAAAGACAGCAGTTAACTACTATCGAGGATTTATCAACCTACTTGTTCTAAAAGTACTCGGAATGAACAGAACGATGATATGGATGATGAGAATTTGACAATGGATAAAAATTTAAACAACACTATTACAAACAGGGCCTGTCATAAACAAATTCATGTTTATATGTATAAACATAATGCCCAAACTTTTTTCAAAACAAGCTCAGTGTGATTTGACCCGTTCGGGACAGTTACCATATGATTTTACTAGTAAATTAGATGACACTCATCCTATTTCTTCAAGTGATTCTTCTGAATTTGTGACTCCTTGATCGGGATCATTTTTTGTTAATTCTTAGTCAACTTGGTCTAATGAAAAAGAGAACATTATAAAAAGGGTAATGCATGTTATAGAGCAAAATCCAAAACTTACATAGGTAGGTATTAGTTATTATTTAGGTATTCCTAAATATTTTTACGTACCTAATCTCATTGATCGATAACCAGAATATTATACTTACAATTAGCATTAATTATTTATTATAATTACCCTATATAATCAATTAAACATAGTCGTTAAAAAGACGAAACGATCGCGAATGCAATGCAAGTTAAGTGAATGCGAAGTGGACAGCGGAGAGATCGCATGCAGTGACGTCATCATCGTACTATCGCGGAGCCAAATAATCGCATCTTTAAACTCGAATAATCAAAGAACCGCTGATCGGATCAAGTTGAAACTTTCAGTAACCATTTTTTTTGACCTGTTCTATATGTATATAAAGTTTGATCAAATTCTAAATTTTATCGAATGAGCCCATTCTATTAAAGCTTTAAATTTATTTGATGTCGCCGCGATGCGCTGGCGCGGCTAGAGTCGAAAAAAAACTATAGAGCATGGAGTTGTACGGGTGATAATTCTCCACGGCGAGATTAGGTTTCACATAGGGAAGGTAACTAATGTGTATGTCCTTGTGGAAGTGTTGGAGCATATTTTACACAAACGTGCACTTATCTATACACATTTTGTATGGTCGTTGGAATGTTTTAATCTTTGGTTTAGCGTGTATCTTGACCCCCATACCCGTGTGGCTAATGGCCGAAATGTAATATATAGAGCTGATAATTGGGATAGATAATAGAACGTAATACTATTTTAATTAGTTTTCTACTATTCATTTTTTCAGCATAGGTACACAAACTCCCAGAATTTCATTAATGGTATAAGTTACAATATAGGGCTATTAATTGTTTAATCATTTTTATAAGAAACAAACTAAAATAACATTATTATAAATTTATAGTTTCCAAGTATAGGTATTTTTGATTCAAAACTTATAGCGTGCAATAAGTTATAAGTATGAGTGCTATTTAATTTTTAATGAGTTTCATACAAAGTTGTACTTTCGGTAATGGATTTCACGTCTCGACAACCTTTGGGCATAACGAACAAGCGAAATTATTATAATTATTGATATTTGCCTCGGGCCTTCCATCCTTCCTTTTTGCAGATAGGCACTTACCTACACTTCTTAAACTGCACAGATACGTAGAGCTTTTTTACGGCAGGTACACAATTCCCGTCTTTACAAAAAAACGTAATTTATGGCAAGAGTTATTTGCTTTATTACCGACAAGGTAAGGCCCGTCGTAAACGGATAATAAAACTTTTGAGCGCTTTTTTCGAAAGGTCAAGTTCGGTGAAATTACCCGTTTTCAATTTAAAAATATTTCACTAAACACCTCGATCGGGCATTCAGCTGTTCCGTAACTAATAATTTCACCGCGGAGGAAAAACAATGTTATCGAGTGAATTAATTTAAAATTACTGTTATTTCGAAAGTCACTTTAAAAGCCACCAATAACGTTAGGTTTTTTATGTTGTAAAGGCTTTAAATTATGCAATGAGCCGTCCGGCAAGCTAAAACTATTAATTTCAATTTTAATTTCCCTTAAAAAATCGATTTATTCCATTATGTTTATTAAATTAGTAGATACCTATATGCTTTCAAGAATTTTGGATATGTCGCAGCAATTCTTAAATATCTCACAAGCTCAATTTATATTCTTCTAATATTTACATTTTGACAATTTCAATTTATCACAGTTTTATCAATTTAGTAGGTACAAATGAGTCTTGCAAGGAAATCAATAATTGGCATTTTCGCTTTGCCTCCGAACGGTTTCGAAATGATTTACTGTTAATGCGATTTTTTTCCGAGGGTATATACATGAATAATGCAACCTGGAAGTAAAACAACATCAAAACGAAAAGCGATGTTGCCGCTCGCGAGGTGGAGATCACCGTTGGACAAAAGAATACCTATAGATTTCTTCGAAGTGTAGCCGGTACATTAGCGACCAAACGCCCGACTCGAGATTTATATTCGCCATTTTCTTAAAATACGAGCTATTGTTCGTATCGACCCACGGCTATTTTACAAACGGCGACACCAAATTTGGCCACTCTATAAACTAAATTCAAAATGGCTTCATTTGCGAAAGAGCCTACCTAATTTAGATACGCAACGAGAAATATGTATCGATTAGATTTTATGGTAACACACACTTGAGGGACAATAAACAATTTAAAAGGTAATTTAACGGGTCGTTGAAGACGGTTATAGATAGGAAGACATGATACAATTTCAGAGCCTGGCATTCTCTACATGCTTATGCGTTCGGTACAATGTTGCTAATTTATTCAATATGTGGAGGGTATTTAGCCGAAAATGTGCGACGGAAACAAGTTTTTTTGGGCAAGTAAACAAATTTATTTACCAATTTCATTTCAATTTTAAAATTGCAAATTCGAGTTTTTAATCTTTGAATGCTTATTTTGAACATATTCTGTACATAAATTATCACCAATAAAAGAGATAAAAAATCGATGTGAAATACTTAAAATGTTTGTGAAGTAACCACTTTGTATAAAAATTTACCGTAAGTATAGATTTTTCTCCAGTATAAACTGGCAGGAATTTTAGTGTACTTATAGGTAATGCACATCCAAATTTTGTATTTCTCTATATATTCAATTTGAAATTGAACTAAATGTCTCTCTCAGTAAGTAAATCATTCAAGTAGATAATTATTAGTTGATGCAGCAATTAGTATTGTTTTTGTTGATAATGTAATAAAATTGAAATCCCATATTAGAAAAAACATGCAAGTGTAAGTTAAATATCTGTTACAAAAGGCCTTAGTAGGTGTTTTTAAAACGGCAAAGAAACATTAAAGCCGTTTGATATACATTTTTGTGGTGAACATAAATGTCGTCCTTGTAGATACGGTCCGTGCCTAGTACCTAGTTGACAGGCAAAGTTACGGCTTCAGATATACCATACCAAGATGTAATGTAAAGATGCATGGTATCTAACCCACGTTCTTTTCCATCAACTCTGCGCCTGCTATTTCTCTTTAACCATGACTTCGGACATTTCTTTCTACACCGTAAAGGCATCGGTTGCTGATTGTCGATAGGCTTTGTCATCGGTTTGATTTACCGATTTTGCGAACGACGAATGGTTAAATAAGTGGTATTTTTGAGTGCGAAAAAATGGTTGGATTTATCACTGCATACATCAAATTTCTAGGTGTAGCATTACAACTAACAATTAGGACTAAACTAATAGCTAAAGTTAATCTAAAAGGAATATCACGAAACGTGGTCGTATATAGTTACATTTCCAGAACCTTCTTGAGAAAACGTGATGAAGTAAATTAGTTTTGATGGAAAACGGTAACAGATCTCGTTAAAGGCGTAATTCATCGTTTATTAACTATAACGAAAGAAAATATAAACAATAAGCAACATTGTTTTAATACTTGTCATCATGAGAAAAATGAACTTCTCTAACAATCAATAATCTGCTTTCCAATTAGTTTAATCTTGATATTTTTGATAAGCCTCATCAATATGTAATTACCTCGAGGGGCCTGTGCTACATACCAAAAAAAATAAAACACGTTGGTGTTTGCTGCAATCTCTTTTAAATTAAATACGTGCGCGAAATTCATCATTTTCGAAAAAATCCCGAGCGTTTCAGTTTTCGTCGTTTTTTTCGTATCGTCACAGAAGCCAGTAAGACTGGTTTATGTGCTGAGGTTGAAAAGCGATGGTTGGCCAAGTTCACCGTCCTTAGTAGATATATTTCAAGCCATATAGCAGCTCATGAAACGCCACACATGGATTTCTCATTATAGTTTCCTTATTGTTTTTTTTATCAACTTTACTTATTGCCGACCATAATTTATGTGTGCGTTCCTCTACCAATACTGGTAAATACTGGTACTGGTTGTTATAAAATATAAGATTAATATTTTAACAAGGAAATTAAGAGTTAAGTAAATAGTTGAAAAGGTTTTCGATTAACCGATTGTAATGTAATTATTAGATAAGTGGACATAATTGTAATATAATTGCATTTGCATGTTCATTTCCTATAATCCTCATACAAGTATAAGGCGAGACTTACATATACATATAAAATATTTTTAAAAAAAGGAATAGAATTATTTTATGAGATAACAGAAATAAAGATATTTTTGGAATTTTCTGAAACCGTTCCTGACTTTAAAATTTTTTCATACCAATATGCACAACGTCGTCGTGAGTAATTTTGTGTTTAAAGCAAATTGCTTTCAAATTCAATTAATGGTATCGTATTTATGAAATGCAAATTCAAAAGCGCACAAAATGGCGTCTCTTCGAATAACCCCACACTGCGCAAAAAACACCTGAAATTGCAAAATAAATAAGCGCCTATATGATGCTTGTATGTAGTTGGCTACCAACTAATGTACGATCGTGAGACATGTAAATTACGACAAGGGAATATATTAGGGATCCGAAGTAATTATTTATAACTTTGCACGCAATCTAAAGTTGCTTTGAGCAAAGCGAAAAATTGATAGGCCATCCCGCCAAGTAACTAGCTTGGCGTTATTTATGGGCTTATTTATGGTGCTCCGTGTGCCATGCATGCACAATCCTTGTACTCGGACTCGCCGAGATTAGGGAAATAAAATATAAATTTTTACGCTGGTATTTTATTACACGTGATAAATCATGCCAAATAGCATCAATTCACTTTGGGAAATTCATTGCAGTTTGCTTTGGGAAACTAATGATTCATATTTTACAGTTTCAAAGCACTTGTAGAACGGAACATCATTCAAAATTCGATTAACTATGAGAAATTGCCTATTTCTTCCACATCTGCACAACTGGACAGTTATAAACGAGGAAGAGAACTTCGAGGAAAATTTATTCCTATAGGTACTTGTCAGATTTAACAATTTACAATACTACCATATATTGTCCCATTCAAATTGAATTTATACGCTCACATTTTAACAACATTTTGCGAAATCTATACGAACAAA